ACTTCCTGTTGTGCTAAATAAAACTAGGGCTGAAACACCATGGGCTTTGGATCCAACGCAGCTGGGCTGGACTTAAGAGGCAAAGCCTTTTCTGCACACAGAGGACACCTGGTCCCTTTTCATGTTGAAAAGATAACTGGGCCACTGGGAAGCCTATAGCTCCTGCCTCCTTCCTGACATCAACTTAGGGCACAAACTCATCACCTTGCCCTTTAGTAATAGCTTCCATTAAAATGAGATTATAAATGGGAAGCAAAGTCTCACTATGTAGTTCAGTGTGGCCTTGAACTTACTAGCCCAGGATGGCCTTGAACTCTTGATGATCCTCCTGCCTCAGCCTGGCTCTATGTGGAAAGCATTCGCCAAGAGATAAAACACTCTACAGTTTGGTCTTCCCATCGGATGAGAAGCTCCAAGGGCAGAAACTGAAGGTCCTTCTCTGGAACCCAGCACCTGCCCAAGTGCCTGCCACCAGCTCTCCCAAAGCCGGGGTATGTTTTGTTGGGGGGGGGGGGTGGATTCCTTCCAACATTTCCAGGTGTGCAAAGAAACAACTTTTTTGAGGTTCTTTGGAGATTTGAAAGTTTTAACTTCTTAATGCATAGAAAGAATGTGTATAAATACATGGTCATGAAGTAATGCTAATAAAATAACCACCTGGGAATATGCAACAGTGCTGAAAAGTAAGGAAAAGCTAACAGAGGGACGGAGATTTCAAAAGGACACAGAAAGTAGCTTGAAGGGGCTCACAACTGCCAAATCAAGGACAATTTGAGCAACAAAGTAAACAATGATAATAAGTGAGATTATAATCCAGTGTGTAAAACAGAAAACCATGAACCAATGTGTGTGTATAACATAAACATGTGCGTATGTATGTGTGTGTGTATAGTCATGCACTACATAACAACGATTTGGTCAATGATGACTGCATATAGCACAGTGATGTCTTACGATTATAGTGGAGAGCCGGGGAGATAGCTCAACAGCATAAATGCCTGCCTGGCAAGATCCTGAGTTCAAGTCTCGGTACCAAAAAAAAAAAAAAAAAGATTATAATGGAGTTGAAGAATTCCCACCCCCCCATGACACAGTAACACAATACATTACTTGCACATTTGTGATGATCTTGGTGTAAACAAACCTACTAAACAAACCTACTACATGTATGTTCCCAGGTATACCACATAGAGTTATATGTAGCAATAATACTTAAGGATAATAAGCAACTATATTAACGGTTTAGGCACTTACTCTTCTATACTTTTTAAATGCTATTTTATTACTTTATTGGTAGAGATTTTCTTTATTGGTTACCCTCCCTCTTTTTGGAGTTAAGAGGCGATAACACTAATGTACAATGACTTGCCATGAACTCTCACCTCTATTTGTCCTGTTTCTGTTTAGATGTAATTTGAAAGCCAACTCAGACCTTGTACTTTTCAGTTATGTTAGAGGAAAATACAATGGATACAGTGTGAGTTTCAAGGAAGTTTTTCAGATCCTAAGTGCATCTTAAGTAATCACAGGCCTTAAGATAAGGTAAGCATATACATTTAACGAAGGCATGCACTTTTGTGCTTAGGGAGGGGGATGGGTGTCTTATAAAATTTTCATGAAAAAAAGATGATTAACCCAAAGATGTGCTTCTAAGAAGTTGTTCATCTGGAAATTGGAAGAGTTGAAAGACCACTCCAGAAAAGCACACACAAAATCCCCCACTTTTAAGGAACTATGTTACTTGAGGGAAAAATAACCTCACAACTGTTCTGGGCATGGTATAAATTTTAGAGCAGCCATAAGAACTTCCTGGAACTGGCCAGTTTTTCTGGCATGGGCTGATGAGTGGCAAATGGAGCCCCCATGAACAGCTGTGACACCTCAGTCTCCCTCCGTGGGCCTCAGTCTTTCTTTCCAAAGGTCCCTTCTGTGAGGATGGAAGGTCCATGATCCCGGGGGTTAATGTTGTTCCTCAAGCAGCAAGACCCTGACAAACCCTGGGGATGTGTAGTAGGCACACACATCATAGTGATGGACACTTCTGGAGGTCTGAAGAAAATATTTTCATTTTTGCCCCTAATAAAGAAGAAAGGTCATGTTATCCAGTTGACATTCAAGATCTAGTTGGTTCACCATTTTCATGAAATAAACTTTCTTCTGGGTAAGGAAACTTCATCATGAGACTTGAGATACACAGATTTCCTTTTCCTCAGAAAAATTTCCTCAGTTTTTCTCTGGTTTGAAGTCCCTGAGCTCATAGCAGGTAGAAGCACAAGGGAGGCAGATGAATTGGCCTTGGGTACAGAAGCCCGAAATGCATCCCAGTTTCATCCTGACTGTACATTCATCTCTACACATGTCTGTGTCTGTGAACTTTTTGTTTTTCAGAAACAGCACCCTGATTTCACTGAGCATGGACTGTTTTTCTTCGATGGTGTCTTCCATCTGCCCTGATGCCACCTGCTATGTCTTCACGAGTCTGAAAACACTACAATAGAGGCCACGAATGTCTCCTGTGTTGCTGTGGTCATTCTGTCAGTCCTGCCTCTCCACTCAGCACTGTCTGGCTGGGAAGAGGTGGCCCCCAAGTTTTGCTGAGCCTCTAACTGCTATTTTATGGTACACTCCTACTTATAAACAAAAACTGACGGTAAAACAGTGCTGTATCATACCATCAGCCGGCACATCTATCTCATGTTTACTGCATCTCTTGATGGCATTGAGAGGTCACATCTAGCTGTGTCAATGCACATTGTGAGGTCCCCACAATGAAACTGCCTAAGGATTCATTTTACAGATCATATCCCTGGCATAGATATATTCATGTTTCTCAGCAATTTTACCCCTGGGTACTTGCCCAAAAGAAATGAAATCACACATGCTTTACTTGTACCCACTTTATTCACAATAGCCAAACACTTGAGACAATGTGTTATGGTTTAGATAAAAAATGAGCCCCCTGCAAAAAAAAATCCCTCTCATACACTCAACAGGCTGGGCTTTTGGAAGGTGACTGAATCATGGGGGTGCTGCAGATACTTGCTGTTAGGCGGTAGAACCTGGTTGGAGGCAGTCATGGAGCATGACCTGGAAGTGTTCATCTCTTTCCCTGGCCCTTCCTTTGCTCTGCTTCCTGACCTTCATAATGCGAGCAGCTCTCCCTCCACCAGGCCCCTCTGCCAGGCTATTTCTACCTTGGAGGCAGCTGACCATGGACTGTAACTGTGAGCCAAAATACACCTCTCCTCCTCCAGGTTGCTGGTGTGGGGTAGTGTGTCTTCGCAATGAGACAGTGACTAAGACATAACCAAATGTCCATTAACAGATGAGTAGATAAAGAAAATCAGGGTATATCCCTACGTGGAATACTGCCTCGCACTCGAAGCCAAGGATTCAACCACACAACCTTTAAACATATGCTTTAAAATGAGCCCAAAAGGATGTTAATTATCTAGCTCTTTAAGGATACTGTAATTGCCCTGGTCAGGATGGCATCATGGTGTGCTCCAAACAGTGAACAGGAGCTGAGGGAACAGCATGAAAAAAGACAGAGGCTGGGGATACAGCTCAGTGGCAGAGCGCTTGCCTAGCATATGCAAGGTCCTGGGTTCCACCCTGGGCACCAGAAAAGATAAGAAGGGAGCAGAGAAGCCTTGAAAGATGCTAAGATGATGAAGAAAAGGATCCACAGCAGGAACAGGAGAGAATGGGCCCAGATAGGTGGGTAGTAGCCCCGGTATTTAAGGTTTCCAAGTATTATAATGTCCAATGTCATAATGCAGGATGGTTACAAAGTACGTGAATGTTAAATTTTTAAAAATTGATTACAGTAATGGGGACTGGCTGTAACACAGTTGAAGTTTCCCTCCCTCATTCGCAGCTCACCTCCTGCTGTGTGGCCCAGTTCCTAACAGGCCACAGACTAGTACAGGTCTGCAGCCCAGGGCCTGGGAACCCCTGTCCTCAATAATTCAGAGCCAACTCCCTCCCATCTCAGTTTCCTAGGGAAAATCTCCTGTATCCTTGGCCACTCCCAGTATATCCTCTTTCTTTCCCTACTCTTGGCCCAGATCTCCCTACAGCTTCTCATTCTCATCTGCATGCTGCCCAAATTCTAAGGCACACATGTTCTCTGAACTGCATGTCTCACCTGACCTAAAGTAAGCAAACAGCATTCTCCCCAAAGGAATTCTTCCTCTGCACTTCTTCAACCTCATAATTCTTCAGTAACTTCCAGGGGATGTATCAGAGATGGACAAAAATCTAAAGACATCTAATATCTATTGTCAGCCATTAAAGCTTCAGCCAAAATTAGAGGAGTCCTGTTATAACAACCTCTTCCAGATCCACAGGTACAGAGAGCTGTGTAGAACGGGCATGTATAAGATTATGAAGGAAAACACCGAGGAGCGTACCGTCGGTTATCACGAGCTCCTGTTAGGAATTTACTTGTCTGTCTCATCACTGGACTGAAAATTTCAAGTCACAAGGTGGAGAGGGAAGAGGTCAAGCGCGTGGCACAGCAGACAAGCCAAAAAAAGGAGAAAATGAGCTTGTACCAAAAGTAAACAACTGCCGGATCATATTTAGCCATTTATTTCTAAATCTATGTAATATGGTCTGGCTACATAATTTAAGCCTGGCCTAATTTATCAGCAATATTCCCCGGCTCCCGTATTGACTAAACAATGACTTCTTGGATTCTCCCAGATCATGTAATGGTGAGTGGTGAAGCCCTTTCCAAGAGCCTGGAGACTTGTGTTTCCCGGCGTTTCTTTTTCTTTTTCTTCCCCTGGGGCGAAGCTGGGATAAATGCGATCCCAAGGCGGGCAGGTATCACCCCCGAGTGACAAAGAAGCCAGAGGCCTGGTAGCCAGCCCAAGTCACCAGCCATTCGGCCTTTCTGAGCACTCGGGGTGATGAGAAAGAACAAGGAAAACTGGGGACCGGCCACTGCGCCCCCTCCTGGAGTCTCACTTTCCGCATCTCTACGGAGAGGCAGGACTGGCGAGCTTTGAGCCTCGGGCGCAGCAACTCCAATTGTGAGGCTTCCCCCCAGCTCCCTCTGCCTGTCTCAGGCCCGCTTTCCGCGGCCGATCCCGGAAGTGCCTAATCCCGACAGCCCCCGCGCACCGCTCCAGGTTGCCATGGAAACGAAGGCAGCCGATCGAGGCGAAGATTCACGCGGAGAAGACTCGCTGCATCCCAGGGCGCGGGTGGACTGCGGAGTGCTCCCGGGCGGCGACAGAGATGCTGAAGGCCAAGATCCTCTTCGTGGGGCCCTGCGAGGTGAGGCTGGACTCGGCGCGGCTGCGGGCGTAGACGAACACGAGGGCGTCCCCGAGTCTGTGCCTTGTTCAGGCAGATCCCCCAGGAGGTGACAGCCTGGTCCTAAAGCTGCCACCCGGGCGAGCTTACCGGAATTGCTTGATAATCACTACAGCCGAGGTGGAAGAGAGCCAGGTGTTCACTTTTTTTGTGTTTTTGAGACAGGATTTCACAATGCAGTTCAGGCTGGCCTTGAACTTACTCTGTAGCCCAGGCTGGCCTCGAACTCGCAGCGATCCTCCTATCTCAGCCTCCCGAGTGCTGGGATTACAGGCCTGCACCACCTGGTGTTTATTAGACCCCCGAAGGCCCCACAATAATAAGTGACATCTTTGGAACTCGACCCTGGGTCTCCTGACTCACGTTTTGCCTGCTTGGTCATCCTTAATGCATGTGTCTGTAGGGCCAGAGAAACAGGAAGGAAGCGAGATTATTTATTATATGGTTTGGAACGATTGGCTATTAATGTATGTGAGTGACGGTAGTAGCCAGGCTTTCCACGTATATTTGCACTTCATGCTGGAGACAGAAATAAAATTGAAATAGACTAAAGCAAAATGTGTGTGGGGAAACACTGTAGAAGTGATAGATGAGTATTCCTCAACTTTAGCATGCTTTGAAATCACCTGGAGTGTGTGTGAAAACGCAGATCCCTGGGTCCTACCCCAGAGTTTTTATTTTGTAAAACCCAGGATGGACCTGTGAGTTGGATTTTGCTGATAGTACTGGTCTAGAGCAGTGGTGGCAAACCTATGGCACATGTGCTACAGCAGTCTGTTACTGAAAGCTCTAAAAGTTTTGCCATCACTGGCCTAGAGTGATGCTAATGTTGCTAGTCCAGGGACCACCTGTGGAGAACAATTATGGCTTCATAGGTCAGTGTTCAAAAAGAGGGGTTTTTATCTTGAGTTGGGGAGGATATTTTTAACCACAACACAAAAATGAAGACACCTTAGAAGAAATAATAGTGAAATGAAGGCCTGCAGAAAGTATTTCCAAAATGCATTACAAAGAAAGGATTCGTAGGTAAACTACACAGGGAAAGGGTTTTTTTTGTTTATTTGTTTTTTTGTCTTTTTGAGACAGGGTCTTGATATGCAGTTCAGGCTGGCCTTAGGCTCACTTTGTTGCCCTGGCTGGCCTCAGACTCAAAACGATGCTCCTGCCTCAGTCTCCTGAGTGCTGGGATTACAGGCATGCGGCACCGCACCCATTAAGAAAAATTTAGAACACAGTAAACAGAAACAGGTTAATAGCAAATCAAGCAAAGGCATTACACACAATTAAAATTGGGAAATAAAATTTTCCTGTAACTACTTATGAGAAGACAGTCAACCTCACATTCACAGGGACAGTGATTAAAACAAAAAGATGATATTCATTTGCCCACAAAATTGGATGAGGAAAGCCTGGGCATGGTGGTGCATGCCTGTAATCCCAGCACTTGGGAGGCTGAGGCAGGAGGATCACTGTGAGTCTGAGACCAGCCTGGGCTACAAAGTGAGCTCAAGTCTAACCTGAACTACACAGCGAGACCCTGTCTCAAAAAGACAAAAAAAAAAAAAAAAAAAATTGGATGAGGAAACTGTAAGATTGATAATATGCAGTGTTAAGATGTATATAAGAAAATGAATGTTCTGGGAGTCTGTTGCAGAAATTCTAAACTGATAATAACTTGGTTTTTTGTTTGTTTTTGTTTTTGTTTGGTTTTGGTTTTTTTGAGACAGGGATTCACTCTATTCCAGGCTGGCCTTGAACTCACTATGTAGTCCAGGCTGGCCTCAAACTTGTGGTAATCCTCCTGTCTCAGCTTCCAGAGTGCTGGGATTACAAGTGTGTGCCACGATGCCCAGCAATAAGAACTTATGGAGAACAAATTATTAAAAGTTAAATGTGCATCACTTTTGGTGCAGTAATCATTATTATACCTAAGAGCTTTTCTGTGTTCCTGAGCCATGTATAATATTGAACAATTAGAAACATCTTCACTCACCAATAAGAGTATCTAGAAACTAAGATACCTTCCTACTTTTTTTTTTTTTTTTTTTTTGAGACAGGGTCTCACTATGTTAGCCCAGGCTGGCCTCAAATTCATGGCAGTCCTCTTGCCTCGGCCTTCTGAGTGCTGGGATTACAGTGTGTGCCACCAGGCCCAGAAATACATTCCTACATTCCTACTTTCCTACTTTCAAAGACTGTGCAACAATTAAGTAAAATGAGGAAATTCTGTGCATGCTGATACAGGGAGCTCACCAAGACAAAATCTTAAGTGTGCAGAATTATGAAAAAACAAGGGGCTGGGGATTTAGCTCAGCGGCACCGTGCCTGCCTGGCAAGCTCAAGGTTGTGACTTCGATTCCTGGTACCGGGGAAAAAAAAGTATTGAAATTTTTTTTTTTTAATTTATGAAAATTCTCAAGTGTATAGAGGGAAAAGGAATGACAAGCTTCTGGTACGCATCACCCAGCATCAATAATAAAATACATTTCAGTTCTCCCTTTCCCTCCCTTTTCAGTCTCACCAACTTTTCCATTCCTCTCACTTGCCTTCCAAAACACATCATCTTCCCACTTATCTAAGTTGTTTAGAAACAGCACTTTTTGAATCTGTATCTGGCTTCACTCCTGGAAATGTATTCAAACCCCAGAATCCATTCCTATAATCTCAGACCATTTGTTTCATTTATTCATCCTGAAAAGTATGCATGCATAATCTCTACAATGTAATCACTTGCTATGTTTGTTTTACATCATACATAATTTGTATGGCTTCATCTTTAGGGAAAATTACTAAAGTAGGTTTGAGTCCCCACCTCCACTTTTATTCTTCTAATTCTGTCAATCAATCTCTCAAAGTCTCCCAAACTAGCACTGATCAAGATCATTCTAGCCAAGCAGTCGTTGCTCAGAATAAAGTATCTCAGAGGGCAGAATAGTGGGAGGAGTTTTGTGTTTTATGTTTTCGTGTTTTTCTGGTTTTTTTTTTTTGTTTTTTTTTTAGTACTGTGGATTGAACCCAGGGCCTTTGCATAGAACCATATCCTCAACCCCTCTGTTAATTTTTTTTTTTTTTTTAAGTCGGCATCTCACTAAATCACTAAGTTGCCTGGGCTGGGCCGGAACTTGGTATCCTCCTGCCCCAGCCTGCCAGAGTACTGGGATTACAGGCAAGCACCACCACACCCAGTTTGGGAGAGGTTTTTATAAGTACCCAAGCTGAAGAGATTGGTTTTTTTTGGAACGACTCCCACACAAAAAAAAAAAAAACCAAACTGCTTTTATATTCAGGCATATAAAATTCAACAAATGATGCAAATATGGAGAAAAGATCTGAAAAACAGATCATAAGGAAGGAATGGGACAGATAAAGGGATGGTCTGAATGGAGGGATGAGGAAGGCTGTTTGTCGTTCTGTTGATATTTCGTGTAGGGCTGTGCATTGCTTTTGTATTACGCAAAGAGAAACAGCTCTCTGGGACTGTGGCACAGCAGTCAGACATCCCCTGACTTGGGCTCAGCTCTGATCTTGATCCTCTGTGTGACCTCAGAGAACTTCTTTTCCCTCTTTGAGCCTCAATGGCTTTGCACCTGTAACAGACTGGTTTCCTAAAGATACAGAGAGGATCAGGCAAGAGAGACACTCATGAATTTTTTCTGTTCTCAGGTTCTGTAGGTGAGAGCCAGACAGGGAAATCAGTGTGGTTAAAGTCACCTCAGCAGCAGAGCCCAGACTCTCATGTCCCCCGGTTCCCAGACCAGGCTGTGCCCGTCACTGCAGAGCAAGCCGCCTGGCCTATGGCCTGCACTACACCATACCACATTCCAAGCCAGTGTGGAGAGGGATCTTTACGGTTTATCTTTCCGCTCTTCAGCAAAGACCTTTATCACTTTCATTTTCACAGAGTGGAAAAACCGTCCTGGCCAACTTTCTGACTGAATCTTCTGACATCACTGAATACAACCCAACCCAAGGAGTGAGGTTAGCCTGCCCAATCCATGTCTCAAAGAGTCACCAACCATCACCCACCTCCTACTTTGTGGGCTTTTGGCCTTCCTACAGTGCTTGCTAAGTAGAGATTTCCCTGCTGCTGCTTTTATTTTTAGGATCCTGGAATTTGAGAACCCAAACGTCGCCAGCAACAAGGGCACAGGGTGTGAGTTTGAGCTCTGGGACTGTGGCGGCGATGCTAAGTATGTTTCTTTTAAAGATCTGCTTTGTCCAGTGACTGAAAGATCAGGGCTGGGAGGTAGCTCAGTGGTAAGAGTGCTTGCCCAGCATGCTTGAGCTCCTGGGTTCGATCCCTAGCACCACAAAAGAAATTCAAACGAAATGAAATAAAATGCACAGTTAGAAACCAGGACGACCTAACACTTGCTCCAGCTCCCTTCCTGCTTTGCAGGTTTGAGTCCTGCTGGCCGGCCCTGATGAAGGACGCCCATGGAGTGGTGATCGTCTTCAATGCTGACATCCCAAGCCACCTGAAGGAAATCGAAATGTGGTACTCCTGCTTTGTGCAGCAGCAGTTCTTACAGGATTCTCAGTGCCTGCTGATCGCACATCACAAACCAGGCTCTGGAGGTGACGCCGGGAGCCTGTCTTTGTGTAAGGAGACTGGGTTTTCCCCTCCTCCCCTTGTCTCAGCATTTGGAGCACTCACATATTACTTTGTGTCTGTGAGTCCACTAGCTTTACACAGCCACTGAGAACCTGCCCTGTGTAGGCATGTGCTAAAGAGCCATCCAGGCCAGCATGTGGGCACTTACAGCAGACAGACTCCAAGAGAGGGGGAATCTGCTTTTAACCATTCGTTGGTCCCACTGGGCACACGCTTTCCCGACAGGTCAAGAAAGCCTCCAGATCTTACATGACACACATGACCAAGCTGACAAAGCAATCCTGGAAAACAACGCAGAATATATTCAGAAACAAAGTAAGAGCAGGACAGAATCCCTTCCTGGGTTAAGAACAAAGAGGAAGGGCTGGGGATGCAGCCCAGTGGCAGAACCCTTGCCTAGCAGACGTGAGACCCTGAGTTCCATCCCCAGCACCACAAAAGCAAAACTCCAAGAAGACCTGCCGGTGGTTGGTGTAGTTCTTGTCCTGTTGCCAGATGGCATCGTCGTGAATCCCTCCTCTGCTGTGTCAAGCAAGACACAGCTTCATTTCTGGACTTTAGAAAGTTAGATTAAAGGGCTTCTAGAAGTTTCAGGTCACTGGGAGCTAGAAAGGGCCCCCTGTGGAAACTTCACGCCTAACTGACCCGACTGTCCTCTCTCAGTGCCACCGTTGAACAAGCTGAAGCTGGTGCACTCCAACCTTGAGGATGAGCCTGAAGAGATCAGGATGGAATTCATGAAATATCTGAAAAACATCATCAGTTCCATGTCTGAGAGCAGAGACAGGGAGGAGATGTCGATCATCACCTAACAGTCTTCCCCCGGGGACGTCCACCTTCCGATGCAGTCAGCTGCTTCCAAGCCCAGAACTGAGATCGTACCCAGTTACTCACGTTTGCTTCTCCCTGTGGCAGTGGAAGAAATTGTCCTCTTCTCCTGGAAGGTAGCAGTTGACCAGGAATTGACTCGTACTATCTTCTGTCCTTATTCAGGTGGGAAAATCCTTTCACTGGATTCTGATTCCCTGGTCACAGGCCTTTCCAAAGAGCTGGAAAATTGAGGGATCCTGTCCCTTTCACATATGTCAAATTATAAAAATTGTAGAATTGTAGCCATTATAGGCCAAAGATACAACAGCAGTTTAATCCAGGTGTATTGGTTTGGGTGTGATTTTCATTCCTTGATTCAGTCAACAAATTCCAACTAGTTGAGCATCTACTATGATATGTGAGGCATTATTCTAGCTGTTGATTGTATACAACATGATGAAACCAACAAAACCCTTGTCCCCATGCAGGCGTCATTCTGTTTTTCTAAATAGTAGTGAGGGAGGGTCAGAAACTTAAGTACTATGTTTTAGTTAAGCAAAGAAAGAAAAAAAGGGCTGAGCATGTTGTCTCATGCCTGTAATCCTAGCACTGTGGGAGGCTGAGGCAGGAAGATTGCAAAGTTGAGCCTAGCCTGAGCAATTTAGCAGCTTAGCAAGATCCTGACTTAAAATAAAAAATAAAAAAGGGCTGAAGATGTAGCTCAGTCCGAAGCCTTAGTGTTCAATTCCCAGTAGAACAACAACAAAGTAGAGTCTTCATTTTGTGTAACTGGTGTCAATCTGTCTATTACAGCACCTTTGCAATTGCATTTGGGGTTCACACAGACAACCCAGGATAATCTCCGTAGCTCCAGGTTCCTAGCAGTCACATCTGCAAAGACCCTTTTTCCAAATAAAGTAACAGTGACAGATTCTAGGGATTGGGACATGATCTCTTTTGGGGCCATTGTCCACCTACCACAAATGACATTGACTGAAGCCTTAATAGAAGAGAAAGCAGAAGTTTTGGGGAGATTACAAATGACTTGTTCAGGATGACCCAGAAAGTTAGAGGAGAGGACAAGACGGGACCCCAAGCCTCTGCTCTTTGCAGAATCTAACTGAGCAGTTCACCCTGTGAACATGGCTAAAAGTGTCACCTCTGTTATGGTTTAGATTGAGAATGACCTGCCAAAGCCTGCTGTGTTCAAAGATGAGGCTTTTGAAGGTGGATCATGCGGTGCTATAGCTGACTTCCTGCTAGGAGATGGAGCGTGGTTGGAGGTGGACCACCAGGGGCATGGCCTGGAAGGGTACATCCACCCAGACCTTTCCACTATGCCATTTCTGCCTTGGAGCCTGATAACTATGGCCTGAAAACATAAGCCAAAATAAACCTCTCCTTCTTTACGTTGTGTCAGGCATTGTATGTCACCAAGGAGAAAGTAACTAAGACACCCTCTGAGACTGAGACTAGTAAAGTAACAATAACCACAGGGCTATGGTTTGCATCTTAAATGTGTCCCTCAGGCCCATATGTTAAAAGCTTAGACCCCATCTTGCTGTTGTTGGAAGGTAGTGGGAACTTGAAGAGCTGGGTCCTAGTTGGGAGGTTCTAGGTTTGGGGACGTGCCTCCAAAGTGGATTGTGGGACACTGGTCTCATTTCTCTTTTCCACTTCTCTACTGCCATTAGATGCATAGATTTGCTCCATCCTGTTCCTCCAGCCATGATATGCTACCTCACCACAGACCCTGTTCCCCCAGCTATGACATGCTACCTCACCACAGACGCAAAAACCAATGTGACCAACATTAGATTGAATCCTCTAAGACCATGAGCCAAAAACAAAACTTTATTGGTTTTAAATTGGCTATCAGGTATTTTGTTATAGTAACAGAAAGCTGGATAACACACACTACAGTAAGAGCAAGGCAAATAACTATATTAACTAGATTTGAATTAGATCAGGCTGACAATGGCTGACAAGTGTATTACACATACAACTAACAGTTCTTGAACCAAATGACAAGTAGTTCTGAGGTTCCATCCACTGTGAAGGAATGATGACTTAATCTCATGCACTGTAACTTGACTGTCCTGCATCTCAAAATTGGTCAGGCAAAGCCCCTAGAAATCATTATATTCTGTGAAGAACACTGGGAGGCCCTTATATCTCTGAGAGGCTAAATCACTATGACAAAGAGTGGAGTTCTCCTGGCAACTCAGGTCATGTAGGAACTCGTTTCAAAAGTCACACTCTTGATGCGCATGGAAAAAACAACCAGGTGTGTATCACTTCAGAAAATTACTCTGAGGTATGGTTCTTCTGGACCTTGACGTCAGCCTTCCCCCACAAATTGTTGAGAATTACATGAATATTCTGACCTTGGCTTAGGCATTCTCAACAAATGTACCCTTTCATTGGGAAGAAAAAAAATTTCACATTTTCAAAACCAAAGAAATGAAATAAATGAAGAGGGAGGAAATAGCTTTTAAATGTTAAGAACAAATTACATACTTTTGATATGACTTCTATCTAAACGGCATTACCAGTTAAAGAATTCTCTACATTGGTGATATGGGCCATTCTTCCTACCGAAGTTAAAAGCCAATGGAAATGCTATGTCTGCCAACTATTCCCACTTCAAAGGGAAAGTTCCTGATGCTTTGAAGTGAGCAGCACATCATTTATCTTCCTGCTAATAGTTCATTCTTATCTAGGCCTTGGGGTAGGCGTTATCCTGTCTCAAGCTTCAGTGGAGATTTACTCTTTGGATTAGAAGTAATTGTAGATGTTAGACATCCAAGGTGTTGTGTGAAATAAATATAACCCACTTCTTATATTTACAATCCTAAAGTTTGTGATACTTTACTTTACTCAGAACACCCTGTTCTGAGAATTGAATTGAGAGTCTCCTCCAAGTTAGGCAAGCACTCTACCCCTGAGCTACACCCACAGCCTTTTTTCCTTTTCAACACAAGGCCTAGCTAAATTGCACAGGCTAGCCTCGAACAAGTAATCCTCCTACCTCGGCTTCCTAAATAGCTGGAGTTACAGGCGTGCGCCACCAATTCCAACTTTAAGAATATACTATACGTATCTCTTGCAAATTTAATGCACTGAGAATTTCATTATTTTTGGATGTGACTGTTAAAAGCAGTAAGTCGAGCTCTGTGTTTTAGAAACTCAGTGGCTTTAAGGAATCAATCACAAATGAGATGAGGAACAATCTCAATATGATTCTTCTGTATGAGAAGAATAGAGGAGACCACAGATAAAGGTCTAATATACACACCAGTCTAAAAACGTTGACTTGATTCTGTTAGCCATTGAAGAGCCTTCAGCAGAGCAGGGACAGGTTAGTTTGGTAGGAGAATGTAAAATAGACCTAACAGGAAGAGACTGGGGACAAGCTAATCGGATACGCGCTCCACTTAGGAAAAGTACAATGTGTTTGGCTAAATGCGAGCGCTAGAAGTCTTGGCAGGTAACGTTTCCCATAGTTCTTGGCAGCGTCTCATGCACTTCCCAGAGGGCTGTGCGCCGCTCGCGCTGGTCTCGGCAACCGTAGAAACCGAAAAGGCAAATTAGGAGACGTACCCTCCAACGTTACTTTATTACCAAATTAATCATTCTAGCCTTCTCTGATTCTTGTTCCTCTATTCCCTGGGGCTTCAGTAGCCCAAATACACTGAGACTAGTCCCGAAGAGAATTCGTTGCTCTCAATCGGAAGTGGTGTGAGCATTCTGGGAAATGTAGTTCGGCCTACCCACCGACGGTGATAAAATTACCCAGCCTCCACAGGTACGGGTCAGAGGGCAGGAGAGCGTGAACAGCCAGGTTTGAAGCCAGGCGGGTGGTCATGGCAACCTGGAGACCCAAACCACCAACGGTCAGAATGCAGACGAACCAGCTGTCGAGATCCTGGCCCGTCTCCGTGGTAACCGGTTCGCCGCTGAGGACTCTGGGAGTTGTAGTTGAGAGGAAGCCGGCTGAGCGCCAGAACGGTCAAGCAGCTACGGTTAGCGTTTGCCAACGGCCACCGCGGGCTGTAGACCGCCGACAGAGCAAGCAGCCCCCTCGCCCTTCGGACCATGAGGATTTCCTGGCCTACGGTAAACCACTTCTTGTGTTATCTCGGCCTCTAAGCCCGAGTTGGTGCCAGGATGGCCGGTCCCCCGGCACCCGCGAGGGGACAGTGGGCGCCGCGGCAGGGAGGGGTGTCGCTGTCGCCCCGCCTCGGCGCCGGCCGGGTCCCGCCCTCCGGACCTGAGCGCCCGCCTCCCTCAGCCCGGCTCGCAGGGCAGGTTCCCGCGCGGCGAATTTGGCCCACTTCTGGCTCTAGTCACACAGAGGGTGCTGTTGCTCGTAGGTGCTCGCAGAGTGGTCAGAGTGGAGCCCCCAGACTCCATCTTGCCCAGTCCTCTTCTGCTAGAGAAGGGGGAACTGGGGCCAGCAGTCAAGAAGTATGCTTTCATTCCAGTACAAACAATGCAATACTTCAGTAAACAAATTACAGTGTTTTTTTTAAAAATTGTGTAAAGAAGAAAGTGGACCGATAGCTTTTAGAAACTTACTGGCCAAATGCATCGTGTGCAGTAGACCTTATTCGCATCGTGATTCTACCTACCAACTGAAATTTTTCTTTATTTTTTTCTTTCTTTATTTTTTTCCCAACTGAAATTTTTAAAAATCAGGGACATGTAAACATTGATTAAGAGTATTAAGGAACTTTTTTATTTTTTATTTTTAAATTTTTTGTCGTTTTGAGACAGGGTCTAGCTATGCAGTTCAGGCTGGCCTTGAGCTCACTTTGTAGCCCAAGCTGGTCTCAAACTCACAACGATCCACCTGCCTCAGGCTCCCGAGTGCTGGGATTACAGGCTAAGGAACTACATTTTTAAATGTTTAGTTGAGATAATAATTTGGGGTTATGCTTTAAAAAGAAAAAGCCTGGTCTGGTGGGGTATGCCAACAACTCCAGCACTCTGGAAGGCTGAGGCAAGAAGATCACAAATTTGAGCTCAATCTGGGCAGTTTAGTGACTTAGCAAGACTGTCTCAAAAATAAAAAAGGGCATGAAGCTCAGTGCAAAGGCTCTAGGTTCAATCCCCAGTACCACACAAAAGAATTTAAAATAAAGAAATAGAGCTTTCAAGACACGTATTGTATTTACCTCATGTGGGAAGGCCCTAGGTTAAGTTCCCAGTACTGCAAAAAGAAGTGGGTAAACAGTGTAGGAGGGGGAAGGGAAGACTATAGGTGAAAGAAAATTAGTGTCCAGTTGCTGAGTGTTGTTGGAGCTGACCATGGTATGTGCACAGAGAGGACAAGACTATGTGCACATTTAAATTCTGTGCAGTATAAATTATTTTAATCCTGTGCTAGAGATGCACGATGGGTTATTCATCAGGGGAACAAAGGTATGGTATCTGCATCTGCATTTGCTTTAAAACACTCCATTTGGCAGGAAGTAAATTCTTAATGGAGCTGGGAAAGAGGTGTGAGAGTTTGTTGTGCTATTGTATTCTCTCTCCTTTTGTGGGACTGCATATTTCCAAAATCAAGGTGTTTTTTTAAATTAGAAAACACATTGAGTGTGATTCAAGAAGTCTGAAAAATACTGGAGCTCATAAGGCGTTTCTGTGAAATGTGACCCTCCTGTGGCACAAGTGAGCCTCTTTGGGGACTTTCACAGTCAGAATGGCAGCAGCAAGAGGCGCTATGTCTGGGATCCACCAGGTTCTTTGACTGCAGAACAGAATTCTAGCCATGAAGGTGGAAGAACAGGACCACTGTGGGGAGAGACTCTGCCCAGGAATCATCCAGCAGCAGGGTGACATTAGCACTCCAGTTAGCGATGTTCCAGGGAGGTGTGCTCTGCCCAGGTGGCAGAAGCCAGAGAGGCACAGCGAGGAGCCCATTGAAGAGCTCTGGCACAAGAGTGCCACCGGGGCATGGAAGGTGCCATTCCTGCTGGAGGATGCGAGAGGGTTCGGTGACACAGGACCCCGGGAGGAGAAGAAAGAACTGATCTGTGAAAACAGGGGCAGGATGGGCCTTGTTTTAGTTACTTTTTCCTCATTGCTGGGACAAAATACCTGACACCCAGAATTAAGGAAGGAAAGGTTTATTTAGCTCACAGTTTGTGGAGATTTCATTCCGTGCTTGGCTGCCACCAAGGCAGTGGCACATGGCAGAGGACAACCGTTCATGGCAGAGGAAAACAGCAAAAGCAGCAAAAGCAAACGGGAGACCAAAAAAAAAAAAGAGCAAACAGGAGGAGCAAAAGAAAGGAGAGGGAGGAGCAGCAGGAGCAAGCCTCTTTCCCTCCCTTATATTGTCTGCAAACTACCCACCCCAGGGTGGGTGTGGCACTCACACCCCTAATCCCAGCATTGGACCATGAGTCAATCATAAACTCTAGAAGCCCACCCCATGACTGCATGAGGCTTTGGGGGACATCCAGATACATAACAGGCCTCCAAAGAAAACTAACACCAGATCAGTTTTGACCCCAAACCTTTTTTCTCATCTTAGCTCTTACACATTTGATTTGGTTCTCATCCGATTCAGTTTGCAACCAGAATCATGGAAAGAATTAAGTTCGTGAACTGAGGTGCCACTGTGTTTTATCTTTGGGCATAAATCAGACTGGAGATCAGGAAGATCTCCAGACCAAGGGTTCTTTTCCCACCTCTTGATTTCACTTTCATGTGGGTAGGCTTCCTAGAAGTCATTATTTTAAACAATTTTTAACCATTTTCTACAGAAAAATTCATATTTGTCTTTACCAATACAGAATTAAGTGCTGGTTTTATATTTTTGGGTTTTGTTTTTTGCAATTACTAGGGTTCTAACGTAGGGCCTTGCCTATGCTAGCAAGAACTCTACCATTGAGCTATATCCCCAGCCCTTTATTTTGAGACAAAGTCTTGCTAAATTGGCTAGGTTGGCCTTGAACTTGTGATCTTCCTGCCTCGGCCTCCCGAGGAGCTGGGATTACAGGCATGTGCCACTGAGGTTTCATGTTTCCTGCTCAACTCCAAGCTGCCATGGTGCCTTATGTAGTCTTTTTTTTTTTTTTTGAGACAGGGTCTCACTATGTAGCCCATGCTAGCCTTGAACTCACAGACATCCTCCTGTCTCAGCCTTGAGTACTGGGATTAGGCGTGCTCCACCACACCTGGCCACCTTATCTATTCTTGAAACTCCTGTACACAGTACTGTACCCTCTTGCTGAAAGGCACGATTCCCAAGGCCTTAAAGCTTGTTATCTTTCTACACTATGCTCTTAGCAGAACTGTTATCTCGGGACACAAATCCAAAGTTTAAAAAAATTCTCAGCCTCAGCAGACAGCTTGCCCTCCACCTTACCAAGAACTCTGAGCTGGCACCACTCAGCTCAAGCCACTCCCAGGCACCCAGCCCTCAGAAACTCTGTGAGATCATAAAAGTGTGTTGCTTTAAACTTCTAAGTTTCAGGGCAATCTTACACAGCAATAGAAAACTAATAAGGCCAGATGTGGTGGTGCTTGTCTATAATCCCTATACTCAGGGAGGCTAAAGCAGAAGGATCTCAGAGTGGAGCCAAGCCTGGCAATTTAGTGACTCAATTTAGTGACCCTGTCTCAAAAACTGCATACATACATACATAAAAGGGCCAGGGGTATAGCTATACACATACATACAAAAGCGTTGGGCTCAATCCCCAGTACCACCAAAATATGTAAATAAGAAAACTACTACAAGAGGTCTAACAGAGAATGTGAGTGCTCTTACCAGGCTTAGAGGCTGACAGGGACAGGTAGTTTAGATTCTAAAAAGCTGGAATTTCTTGGCTGTTTTAATGGCTTTTGAGAATAATAAGACAGAGTATTTGAAACAAAGACATTCATGGAAATATCAAGGGAATACGGTCATGGTATTAACATATCTAAATTACATTTCCTTTATAGTAAAGTTGTTTAGTTTTTTAAACTATGACTTTTATCAAAAGTTGAATCAAGCCAAACATGGTAGCACACACCTATAATCCCAGCATTCTGAGAGCTTGAGGCAGGAGGATCACAAGTTTAAACCCAGCCTGGGCAACTTAGCAACTTAACGAGACCCTGTCTTAAAATAAAAATAAAAATAAAAATAGTCTGGGGATATAGCTCAGTTCCAAATATTGAAGAAATAATGTTTAAATTAAATTTAGACTATCTTTGGGAAACAGAATTATAAAAGGACTTTCCCTTTGTACTGTTTTTTTTTGTTTTTGTTTTTGATTTTTTAGCTCTGGGGATGAACTCAGGGCCTAGTGCACGGGCCTAGTACCCACCAGGTACTCTACCATTGAGGTACAACCCCAGCCCTCAAAACTAATTTTATAGAGATATATTGCAGAGGGTAGGGAGAGCTTAGCAAGACACTTGATTAAAAGAGAAAAAAAGCAAATAATCCCACTTTCCTTTAGAGCTCCCGATGTTCTTTATTGTTTCCAGAACAGGAAGTTCCCCGGGACAAATGGCACGTTCGCAGTGAGTCATGGGATCATCCGCTTCAGTGGAGACCCTGTCTCACTGTGGCTTTTGGAGCCTCACTCCTTGGAGCTTCCAGTGTCAAAGTCAGGAGGTAACATTCTAGCTGCAGACTATGGAGCTGAGTGTGGCCATCACTGTGGCCTAAGACCTTAGAACTCCAAGAGGTCCCAAGGACAATAGAGGACACCAGAGAGAATGCAAACCTCTTCCTCACCCACAGGTGCTTGCCTGGGCCCTACTGCCTGAAGAGTTAGTGCTGTGCACAATATTAAGCTCTTCCAAATGTCATCCTGTAACCTTTTAGCGAGCCCACACCCATGGCATGGTTCACATAGACTCATTGACAGTAACCTTTCATTCTTTCATGAGCTTATGCTTGGGAGTGGAAGGGAGCCCCATGGGGCATCAGAAGGCCTGCTCCAGGGGGCTGAGAATGAAGAGATCAGACCCTGCCCAAGAGGGAGAGGACATGCCTTCTGTCTCCTGCCGTCCCACAGGACACATGACATCACTGGCTCCGCTTGCTGGGTCTCAGCACTCAGCCCATCCCCCAACACACAGGCTATAAACACCTCTGACAAAGCCAA